CACTACATTGAATGTCCATTGAATGTCCATTCACCCGGCCAGTAGCAATAATTATTACGAAATATTCCCGGAGTTTTCTAGTAGTATTTAGAAACAAGACAATAATATTTTTCAAGGGGTTTTCAAAAATTTCTGGGGGTAATAGTTTTAACTTCAAACCTGCAGAAGAGAGCGAGATGAATGAAAACTGCTATCTCTCTCTGCATCCCCAGGATGTGACTGAACAACAGCCTCAATCTGTGAAACTGCATCTGAGACGGCATCATACACCTTTTAACAATAAAAGTGAAGTAATATATCAAACATGAGATGCAGTGTTTCATCACCAGATGAAACACCGAGAAGAGAGTTGAAAATACGACGCGCAGCGGAGTATTTTTGACGAACTTCGAGGTGTTTCATCTGGTGATGAAAAACAAAATCATTTTTGAAGGAGAAATTAAGGATGCAAATACTAAGCAGTGTTTCATCCGATTTCCAAACACTCATTAAACATTAATTTCCTTTGTATTTTCTTAATGAATTATTAATGAGTTTGAGAAGTACTGTTCAAAAGTAAGTTGACAATTTGATACTCAATCCTTGTATAAGTCAAGTATTGAGAATCGACTCAGGTATCCAATCGGGATTCTCAATTTCCTATTCTCGATTTTCACCTGATAATGGCCAAGTTTGCTTTTTCTTTCAATGAGGAAAAAAACTTTTTTAGACTGCTATAATAAGTTACATGTGTGTGTGTTTCATCACACTCTTTTCATAGCTTAGTACTTGTGAGGACCATCTACAGTCTTATTATTCCGTCTGAAAAAGCCCAAAAGCCTAACCTATAAAAATAAGGTAACCCAGCATGTAAATTTGCCAGCAAAAAAATATTTCCTTGATGCTTGAAGGAATAATTTTGGTTGCCAGAGCCTGCAGGTAAATTCTTGCTTACTTGTACCTTAGGAAGCAACCGACCATGTATAAGCTAAGTGGTAAAAATTGATAACAAATTTTCTCCATTATAAAAATTTTTAAAAGAACCTTGGGAAGGATTCTTGAAAACAGCTTTGCTTCCACTTCTACTAACGTCAAACATGGTAGAACTTGACTTGTCAAGCTGGTGAAATGCTCTACAAAAGTCATATTAAAAAGTATATTAAAATTGAAGATAAACTCTAAATGGTTGGTCCAAATCCCCTTTGGTGTTAGAACATAACACATTCAGAACAAAAAAAGTAATGATTAGGGTCAAGTTGTTTGAAGCCCAGTTAACAGATTGTCCTTGGGTAACTACAATAGGTGTAAGAGAATATGAGCTGCCATGGTAAATAGCTGAACACTGGGATCAGTATACGTTTCTGGGAAACTCTCCACCTACCGTTCCGCTAAGCTAACATTAACACTTACTTTTCACTTAGAGCAAAATGTTGAGTTAGAGGAGGGGTAGGTGGGCAGTTTCTCAGAAACGTATAGTGATCTGAACACGGCACTATCTGTTAAACAACTCTTTCCACACCCCAACTGTTCAAAAGCTGGGTGCTTAAACACTGTTCACTGTGGGATAAATCTCTATCCGGTGGATAACACTGGATAAAGGTTTATCCGCGTCATGATGGGGCTATCCAACGTTTGAACAACCCGGACCTAGGCTGTTGTGAGAATTTCAGGACAGACGAACTGCTAGTCCATCACAAGGGAAAGGCATAAATCTAGACCATACAGGAAACTAGACAGTGAAAACATATGTCTCTTCTCACTCCTCGCTGCTGGCTAGGGACGTTTCGCCAGGAGGGACATCTGTGCCTTGTCCACAGAAATTCCTACTGATGACACAAATCAATGTTCAAATAATACAAAATTGACCAGTCAGAGCTCCTGACCAGATTAGGACAGATTTTACCTCATCAGAATGGAATTTGTGTCACTGAGGCACAGACGTCCCTCCTGGCAAAACAACCCTAACAGCGAGGCAAACATGAGGTAACCTGTCCTGGCTAATGCTAGCATAGGGACAATTGGCATTAGAAAATGAATATTGGTCCCCAAATGTTTTATCTGCTGGAAAGTGATTTTTCTGGTGAATAGCACTATCCAACATTTAGATAACCAAGGCTTGATAATTATTGAAATCCTACCTAGCTTTTCTTGTATATCCCCAGCCTCGGTAAATAATTTCTGAGTGTACTATGTTAAAGACTGCGTAATTATAAACTCAATCCATGATGACAGCTTCAGTGCTGTCAACTCTCCAGGATGATCTGGAAGACTCCAGATTTTGGACCATATCTCCCAATTGGAGTATGAAATCTCTCAGATAATTGCCAAAATTTGCCGTTTCTCTCGAAGACTTGACTTTCTGACAATATTTTGCATTGTTTGAGCTATTTATTCATTTTTCACAAACTCCGGTATGCCTTTGTACTACTGTCAACTCCAAATAACTCAAACCTTCTAGGGAAATTGAAAAAATTGCGAGTTATTGGGAGTTTGAAGTAAATAACCAGAAGTAAGGAAATAAGCAAATGGATGGGGAGGGAATTCCGTTAAGAAACAAAGTATACAGGGATGGCAACTGAAATTGAACCGGAGTGACAAAAAAGTAACGACAAAGAATTCACACAGTTGTTTTAAAACAAAATCAATGTTTTGGACTTCAGGACATGGTTTTTTCCCAACTTGTCACGCGCGTATATCATGGTTTGAGTTATCAAAGGTAAAATTGTATAGAACTGATCTGAAGGGAAACAGAAATTACTTTGAGCTAGTGGGAAGTTCAAGTTATTGAGGGTTCGAGTTACTAAGGGTAAAATTACAGTAAATGTATGAAGGAAATATAGACTTTAATAGACTTTGATTCAAGTTAGCGAGGGTTCGAGTTATTGGGAGTCAACTGCATAAGCAGTGATGTGATTGGTGGGAAGTAAACCAATCAGGTCAAATGTTACAATACCAACAACATCTCTTTTACGTGTTTTGTGTCATCGCAAATTTGTGACAGTCAGAGTTAACAAGTATTTTTTGCACAAATGACGTCATGTGCCATGCATTATGACATCATCTATTATACCTTTCCTATCAATTCTCAACATTTGAAGATGGCGGGGAGGGGGGGGGGGGGG